CGGTTTTGGCAGCCACAACAAAAAAATTCCCCCGCCTTTTCCCCCCGGAAAAGGAGGCCTGGCCCAAAGGAATCCTTGGGTCCTTCCGGGGGCCCTGGGGGGGGGGTGGGGGGGGGAGGGGTGCTTAAAAATCAAGTGAAACACGAAGAGATCTAAAATATGTTGCTCTTGAATTTTCCTCACGAGTGTACTCTACCCATTTAGCGTTTATTGTCATTTCGACCTCTCTAGAAGGCGGTAAGTATCGTCTTCGCGTTTCCTCGTGCGCCCTCTTGGTGGCACAGGCGCTCTGATCCCGACGACAGCGGGGAAAACTTGGGTGCAGAAGTGAAGGCACGTACACCAATGAGTCTGGCAAAATACGGCAGCATCAGAACCCACACAAGCACGTGCATATAATATTGCTGTAAAGTACATCCCGCGGCAAAAAAAAACGCCGCCATACACAACGTTGTAAACCAAAACTACCTTTCAATCTCCATGTGCATACAGCGACAACACAATAGCAATGCATAAAAAAAAAAAAAGGGTGCCAATCTCAATACAGCGATAACACAACAACAATGCACAAAAAAAAAAAACGCACGTGTAGCACTCGGCGGTGGAAGGCACGCCCGTGATGGAACAGTCATCGCTAGACGACATCTCCACCGCCTCGAGACTCCTGCTGCCCAAGGCCCCATCGCCGCTCAGCTCGTAGACCGTGCTTCCCACGGCCATGACCGACGTCCCGCAGCTCGTCTCCGCGATCTCCGAATGTTCGCCATCCACGGACACGACCTGACGTTTTTTTGTTTTGAGTCGTCGAGCCGCCCCCCAAAAAATGCGTGAAATACAAAAATCAGTTGGGACCCAGTGGATTGATTGCCGAGAACGAGGAAAACAAAAAAATCGGGGAACAGAAGCGAAAAATTACGGAGTATTGTACAGGTTCTTCGCCTGCAGATTTCACAAATTCAATATTTCTCTCTGTTGTTCGTTTTCAGAGTCAGCAAGTCAGTCAGCCGTCCGCGGGAAAACATGTGATATGACTCTGTTGGCGTATGAAGAGTGCACCTTTTTCGTTATAACTCGAGAAAGCACGACAGATGACACCGGCTTCTCACGCGTACATGGCAGACATCTAGATACAACATCTCGTACGGACAGGAGGAATATGGGAGCGTTTGAATTAATTAATTGTTTTTGGGTTTGGGGAGTACATGTACAATACGCGCCAACACGCAAGAACCCCCTTGTCTTGGCCAAGGCTCGGTTCTCATTTGGTCTACACTTGTACACTGTCTGGGGTACCGCCACGGCGACTGTAAAGGTTTTAGTGTGACTATATAGGTTTTAGTGTAACTATCACGGAGCACCTCTTGTTATGATGGCCAATTTCTTAGGTTTTAGATTTTCTGAGGCTCAAGTTCTTGGACTGCTGGAGAGCGGCGGGTTCTGTATGCCGAAGAAGAACAGAGCGCCCTCTCGTCCAGGAGGGGTCCAGCGGGAATAGAGTTAAATAGGTACATCCGGATATTCTCCCAGTAGGCATGTTAGAATTAATGAACCAATACTAGTTCTCACGAAAGCAGCAGCTCCGGGCGCAGCTATTGTATCTACATATATATGTAGCTGTCTTACTTCCCTCCTCGAGGGTTGTCCCAAGAATGGTGTGAGCGAGGTAGTACAACGTCGTGTACTCTTGTCTATTCGGGTGGGCCTTTAGCAACGAACGAGCCTACACAACTACTATGCGGCATCCTACCTGCTGTATAATACCTGGCTGCGTGGGCGTGTCGTCGCCCCGAGGGAGAGAGCAGATGTATGTTGTTCCAAGGCAAAGCAAGTACTGCTGCAGTCTACAAGCAGTGCTTGGGGTCGTAGAGCTACAATACAGGCAGCATATC